CATCAATGACAGGCTCAGTCAAGGGATTTATGACATTTACAAAGCAACGAAACAGTGAGATTTATATAAACCACTGCTTCTTACATAGAGAAGTGCTTATTGCAAAAACATTACTTGCAGAATTAAAAGATGTTCTTACTAGCATTGTTAATATGGTAAATTACATAAAGGCAAGACTGTTAAAATCCCGAATTTTTAAACAACTATGTGCAATGATGGAAGCAAAATATGAAAGGTTAATTTTTGATACAGAAATCATGTGGCTTTATTGAGGAAAGGTGCTTTTTCATGTAGTGGAACTGAAAAAAGAATTGATAGTTTTCTTCGAACAAAAAAATATGTGCTTTTCAGAAAATCTTAAAAATGATATGTGGTGTGCCAAACTTGGATATTTAATGGACATATTTAATTTTTTGAACACTGTGAATATTACCATGCAAGGTGTACACGAAAACATCTTAACATCAACAGACAAACTATCAGCTTTCCACAAGAAGATCATTCTTTGGAAGAAGAGAGTAGAAGAAAATAATCTCAGTATGTTTCCATTTGTACATAATAATACCGATATTGTTTCCTTGATATCAGAACATTTAGCAATATTAGAAAACAACGTAAGAAAATATTTTTCTTCTCTTGACATGGACAAATATGACTGGGTTAGGAATCCATTTATTTCAAAAAATTTATATAATAATTCTGAATTGAATGTCTCAGAGGAAGAGGAGCTTATATCCTTGTCATCTGACCACTCCTTGAAAATCAAACATGCTAAAACGAATCTTGATGAATTCTGGATATCAGTCCAACAAGAATATCCACTGATATAAAAAAAAACCATAAAAATTCTACTATTTTTTTCAACTTCATATTTATGTGAATTTGGGTTTTCCACATTAACCAATATAAAATTTAAAAAAAGGGAAAGAGGAAGAAATAAGGATGGCATTTCTTGTATACGTCCCAATATAGAAGAAATATGTAAAAAACATCAGGCACAAGTTTCCCATTAAAATTGTTTAGGTATATTTTTTCCTGTCTCAAAATTGGCGTTAATAATATGAATAGAGATTTTGAATTATAACTGCTCAAGTCTAATAAAATAACTGAGCACAAGCTTATGTATTTCATATTAACTTAAGTAAGTGTTCTGCTAAAGAAAATTGCTCACAAAGTGTTTCACATCCTAGAAAAGGTTGGGAACAACTAACCTAGACCATAAGGTCAAAGGTATATCCGGTTGCAAAATTTCCCACTCTTTCCATTGCCAGGTCAAAAATATGTGTTCCCATTGAAAAAAAAAAAAACAGACTTGACCCTCAAATGACCTTGAAGGTCACATCCAAGATCACTAATTGATTGGCCCTTCGAAACCCTATAACTTTTGTTTATACCTTTTCCCCAAAATAATGAAATCCAATTAAGTTATTGCATTGTCTCAAGATAAAACAAAAAAACACCCTGTATATACAGGGTGACAATAATTAACCCATACAGTTTGTAGCAATGCTGCATCTGAACTTTTTACCGTCACCAATTTGCATACTGTCGTTTAATTCTCCATGATTTCCTGCTCATATAGATCTGCTTTCGGTGTAATAGGAGTTAGTTCTTTATTTTTTTAAGGATGTCAAACAAACATTGTGCAATTTTGGAGCTATTCTGGCAAGGAAAGCGTCAATGTGAAATTGTTTATTTGCTCGAAGTTCCCAAAATGACAGTCTCAGATGCAGTTCAGCGATTCAAGAAGCTTGGCCATGATGGCAACCATCCCGGACGTGGAAGAAAGCACACCATCAACACAAGATCATCAAAAAGCGAGTTGACTGACATGCGAAGATCTCCATGAGAAAAATTGCTCATGAGATAGGAATTAATTGCGAATTGATGCAGTTAATGGTGAAAAAGGAACTCGTACTCAAGCCCTACAAGTTCCAAAAGTTTCAGCTTCTCATCAATGAAAACAAGTGCATGCGACTCCAAAGATGCCATCAACTCAAGCGTCGGGCCGCAGGTCAATAATGGGAGCACATTCTCTTCACAGACAGGAAGCTTTTCTCCGTACAACAGGTGCACAACCATCAAAATGACAGGAACTGGTCCCTGATGTTCAGCCATCATCGAACATCACAAAAATCCAATGTTTGGGCTGGAATTTGTGCAAGCAGAAAGACACCCCTTGTTTTTGTCAATCAAGGGGCCAAAATCAATCAAAACGTGTACCGCCGTGACATTCTCGAGGTCGTGGTACTTCTGTGGGCTCAGCAGCATTTTGGACATTTCAGCAGGACTCAGCGCCAGCACACAGGGCAAAGAAGACTCAGGAGTGGTGCAAGGCTCATTTTCCTGATTTCATCTTGTCTGCAGATCACTGTACTCACCGGATCTGAACCCAATGGACTACAGTGTGTGGTCCATTTTGGAGGCTAGCATCTGTGCTAAACACCACAAGTTTGGAGTCGCTGAAACAATCCTTGTGCTGGGAATGGAACAAACTGTCTCCAGAAGAGCTGCGGCCCATCGCTGAGAATTTAGAAATGCGTTTGGGGCTCTACGTCAAGGCAAAAGGAGACCACTTTGAAACCAACTGAATATCTGATTAATATGTAAAGTATTATCACTGCTATCTGCTGTTGTTTTGCTAATTTTCATTTCTTTAATAAATTTATGATGCAAAAAACTCGTACGGGTTAATTATTGTCACCTTGTATATACAGTAGAGTGTCGTTTATCCGAATCAGTTGGGGACTGGGGTTGTTTGAATAACTTATTTTTCGGATAACCGACTATGTACAAAAAAATATATTAACTAAGGATGCACCGATTAATCTGTATCAGCCATTACCCCCGATTTATCGGTTTCGATAATCGGCCAATTTTACATTTTGGTATTTTTGTTAGACTGTTACGTACAATGCTAGTAATAAAAACGAATAAATTTCTGTTATATATTTATTATTTATTACATGACAATCTGAATATTAAAAAAATTTTACTAATCAAATTATTCTTTTTATCGATACATATTATAAGTATAATATAACGTATAATATAAAGTTTAAACTTTACATAAGAAAAAGTATTGAATAGGTTAAGAAGAAAAATTAAATTTTTATTTGTTTCATAAGTTTAAAGTTTAAACATATAAAACAAAAAAAAATTTAATATTCAAACTGTAAAACCCTAAAATTTCAATTAAAGGTTTAGATAAGAACCCTTAAATTACGATTTAAGGGTTTTACAATGCAAAAACATGAGAATTTTATCATTTTCAGGGGATAACCTGTTTTTGCCAGCTGATAAATGTTACCTCCAGTGCTGAAAACTTTTTCACTTTCAATGGAAGATGCTGAGGCAGTTAAATATTTCATAGCTATTTTGCTCAAATTAGGGATAAATGTAAATGTTTCTAATTCTTGATCGAAACGTTTGTTCGTCTCTTTTGTTTTTTTTCTTTCTTTTTAAAAACATGCTATTCTTCATTCTTTCGTTTACCAGACGCTAATTCATCAAATAAATCAGAAAAACTTAGAAATTCACCTCCATCTTGATCACCTCCAGAAGTAGAAGCTTCAGAATTTAATTCTTATTGAGATTTCCTCTAGCATATCCTCTTTTTGAAATTTCATTTTGAATCTAATAAAAATGACAAGCATAAAGACTTGTTTTCTATATATGCTGAAAATCTTATTTTATTGGATTTTCTAGTTCTTCTGTTGTGGTATTAATGCCACTAAAGGAACTACTGATCTATGCTTTTGATATGAATAATTTCAGAGTCTCTATTGTGGGAATTATTGAAGATGAAGTGGCTTCTCATTTGCTGGCTTTCCATAGTAATTTCTTTGAATGGTTTTACAAGTAGAACAATTTTTTCAATGAGAGACCACTGATATGGGCTCAACATAGGAATTTTATTATCTATAGTATATGTGACAAGGGCCTTTTGCTGTTCCAACATATAGTATGTAGAATTTCAGCGAGTAGGAACATCTTGAATTAATTTCTGTTTCTGCAAACCTAACTTTTCTTGCAAATCTTCTAATTTCATTACAGCTACAGCAGAATGATTAAAATGTGTGACAATATTTCTATTAACTGTGATTATAGTTTTCACATCTTGTTTAGAAAATATGCATTCGTTTAGTGTCAGCTGCAGCGTATGATAATGCTTCTAAGTTGCAATTCTTAATTCCAGCTACCAGATTTGCTGCAGAATCTCTTAGTACTAAGAATATCTTATCACTTGTCAACTGTTCAAAAACAATTTTTAACTGTTCACTGATTCGTGTAGCTGTGTGGGAACCTTCAAAGGAAACAATTTGCAAAACAGCTCTTTCCTGCTGAAAATTACCCTTCAACCAGTGAGCTGTTACACTTAAAAAAGGAGAATTGTTTGTAGTTGCTGTCCAAATATCAGCGGTTAAAGAAATATATTTTGTTTCTGTTAAACACAGAAACACTTCAGCTTTTTAAACAATGTCGAAGTTTCCATGCGTCAACAATTAACTGTTGAGATTTATTTTAGAAACAAAGGAAGAGATTGTTGATTTTGCGAGGATATTCNCGCTGCTCGCAGCACTTCTAAGTGATGCCGCTGAGAGTGTTGTTAAACTCGTTTTCTTGAAGTGCTGCGCGCAGCAAACTTCTCAGCAATTTCACTGGTTCGAGGTTAAATCTGCAGCAATCGAACGAGGTGCTTTTTGCACCTAAACAAAATGGCAGCTACCACAATGAACTTCGTCAAATTTGTTTACGAGAACTTAAAAATTGAATTACAAGTTGATTCTTCAATAAAACATCGCTTAGAAAATGGTAAGTTATTGTTTTTCATAACGCTTTATTAATTACACGAAATAAACTCAAAATTCACACAAATTATACATTAAAGTTTGTGTAAAAGACTGTACAGGCATACCGTTTACATAATTGGTTTGATAAATTACAACATTATACAAATAATAATCATCTTTCTATGCAATATTAACTGTACAGGCATACCGTTTACATAATTGGTTTGATAAATTACAACATTATACAAATAATAATCATCTTTCTATGCAATATTAATACCTTAAAATAATTCCAACTTGACATTATTAAGAATTGCTGTAAACTAGGCTATATCTTTAGCAAATTGCTATGAATGGTATAAATAAAGGCTTACATATCCTTTAATTTATAGGACTTTATACACATGTATTTTCCAAAAAAGAAAAAAAAATGCATTTTGGATTTATAGTCTCTCATCAGTTGGAACATAATATTCAAATGTATACAATAACCAATTTATTACTTCTTGTGATAAAGGTTACTTTGCACAGTTACAGTTAAAATTACAATTAAATTGTATAAATTAGTTTTATTATAAATTGGAGGGTATGATAAGCCTTTATTTATGGCATTAACAATAGTTGGCTATATAGCCTAGTTTAAAGTAATTAAAAGGGACAAGTCATTTGTTTAGTTCCTATCAAACAAAAAAAGTTCATGTTCTTTTATGGTTTTCAGATCATGATTTCATTCCTCGTTTTTTTGAAGAACTGATATATGAGAGGGGAATGAGAGAACAGATCGGTTTACCGGAAGATGTAGATATTAATTCAATAAGACTGATCAGCAGATCACATGAGGAGGGAGAATCAGGTATGTATATGTTTATATGCAAGTACATCAGTATATACATGTATATACTAATACACTACAAATAATAGTTGTTCTTTCATATCGTTGCAGGAGACTTCTCTTGGACTGGTTCATCTACACAGTTGTTGATAACAACAAGATTAAATATGGACGATGAATTCAGAAAACCTATAAGAAAAACAAAACTACAGGATTCAATATCAAAAAAGATAGAAAGTCACGGTTACACTGTTTCTCCCAGTGACTGTGATAAGAAATGGAGAAATCTAAAGACGACTTATAAAAGAAATAGAGATAAGGCAAAACAACACACTGGGAAATCTGCCATCACCTGGCCATACTTCAAGTTACTGAACTTGGATCTAGAGTGGACATCAATCCTCCAGAAGAAAGTGTCATTTCTTCTGAGCCATGCTTGGAGCAGATCCCATCTCCCAGCAAACCTTCAAGCAGTTTGTCAGGACTGCCTGCCCACTATGAATCTGATGTGGCAGCAGTACATCCCCCTTCAATAAAATCTTTTCAGAATCATGTAAATTTAAAAAGAAAAGAAAAAAAGATCCACCAGAGTGGTTTCAAGCTTGGGCCAGTAAGCAAGAACAAGAAAGGAAATAGGTTAAATTCCTGCCAGCGCTGATCTTCTCTCTGATGATCCTATTTGATGTTGAAATTTTTATTTGTTGTCTGTGACGCCATGTTGAATTTTCGTCGATGTTAAGCCTAACGAAGACTATTGTATCGTTAAAAATTATTTTTTTACTTTGTAGAAACAAAATAAATATATTGAAAAATATAAAACCAATAAAAAATTATACTTCAGAAGTTAATTTAGTATCAAAAACGTAAAATATTTGAGTAGCCCAAGACAGCCAAAGATTGCAGCACCACAGCACTGGCGAAAATTTAAATTTGCCGACTGGAATTCTTTCGGATAATCGATGCTCTACTGTACTTTCTAGTCTCACGACACCATAAATATAATCAGCAATAGCATCTTTCTTCTTATTTGCTGCATTAGTTGAATGTTGGCTTGGGTGAGGCTGGAAAGGAATGAAATGTTTATCCTCATCTGGACTAACATCACTTTGTAGAATACAAAGATTATGTAAAACACAAGCAGTAAGAATAACTTTAGTCAAGTATTGCTTGTTTCTTACGAACAAAAATTTCAGTTGACGAAAACGTCCAAACAGATCACCATATGCGAGATGAACTTAGTCTTTTATTAAAATATTTCTGTTTGGAATTCAGATGTCCATTGTCCTTGTAAGGAATTATCAAATATGTCTCTAGTGAGTATGCTGAGTCCCCAAGTAAATGACAGTTCTCTGGGAGTGGGAGAGTTTTATTTGATAACCCAATCCCTACATCACTATTTTGCCACACCCTTGCATGATGTGCAGATCCTGGCCAGCCAGCATAAACTGCAGTAAACATTTCGTCACTTCTGCAGATCCCTTGAAGGATGACTGCAGTGCACTGCTTCCTGCTGTAATATTCTTGCTTTTCATGATGACAAACTGTTACTTTGTATTAATGTCCCATCAACACATCCAAAGACATTTGGAAAGCTGTTTCTGCCCCTTAATAATAATAAGTTTTTTACCACTTCTTATCTTGGGCATCCTTATCAACTGGCCATTTAATGAAAATTTCTTTTAAATTACAAACACCTTTACAAAACACTATGAACAGCCTGTGAGCATGTCCTTTATCGAGTCCAAAACAGTCACCTACGCCTCTAAAGGATTCCTGATTTCCTAAAATCCATAAGGACAATAGGATGACCTTTTCTTTTCTTACCTCTATAACGGATGACTGTCCCAATTATTTTTGTTTCTTTTAAATTCAGAATCTGGCAAAGATATTCGATGCTTTCATGCTGAAGTCTGAAGTGACCTTTAAAATCCAGATCACTGTATTGAGGAATAATTTTCTCATAATAGTTTTGTATCCTGGCTTTTTTCCGCAGTTGCACCACAACAGAACTTGCCATTCCAGCAATTACTTTGTTGTCAAGTTTATGCTTCCTAAATAGGACATTACATCGCAAAAATGAATTTCTTTTAAAATTTTTTGAATTAAATAATTCGCTAAACATTCCATCAATTGCACTGAGAGCTGCCATTTTGGAACTGCAGTGCTGTCCTGTGTGCATTGTTAAAAGATATTCAGCAGCAGTCGCAGCGCTCTTGCAGCCTAAGCGGCAGTGCTGCTCCGCAGCGCTGAATTTAACAACAACCCGTTTATAAAATAACATGTTACTCTACTCACATTTTTTTCCAACTTCTGAGATTTACATTTTATGTAACTGCAAATTTACATAAGTTGTGTGTTACGTAACTTGGGGTATTACTGTATAAAAAAGAGAATGTTGTCACATACACTGATAATTTGTATAAAAGATTGTTTTTCTTAAACATAAGATTACAGCCTGATATTATTTATTATCTAATTCTTATAGGAATTAAATAATTTTAATTATCTTAGGCAGTGATCAGCAAACTTTTTTAGGAAAGTTCCAGATTCTAAAACACTCAGATTTGACATGCCAGGCTGCAAACTTGAATACGTATATTTTTTAAATAGGTACAGTTCTACTCATAAAGCAAAACGAAAAATAAAGGATTTTTTATTAGGAAGAGATATTTTTCATACATAATATTTATACACATTATTACTGATACTTAAAAACAAATAAAAACATTTTTAATGAACTTATTATAGAATGGTGAAAATTTGTACTAATGTGAAAAATGAAATTGTTTCATTTGAGGCAATATTTCATCATATCAGACTTTCAAGTTAGTAATTCCTATCATTCCCATGGGCTGGATTGAAGATAAGCAGCAGGCCTTAGTTTTCTAACCTGTCTTAGAATATTGATCTTTTATATTCTGTATTTACAGGGGATTTTTCAGTTATTTTTGAACAAGTTTGTTATGTTGACTTCTCTTGTAATAAATATTTATGCAAGTTTTCTGTAGGGATATAGGATATCTTGTAATTAGTTGAATAGAGAAAAATTCATCTTTTGAACATTTCTACATAAAATGTTATTTTAAATGAAAATTTTTTTTATATATTACCAATTATAATTTTAAAGTACTGTACAAGTAGAAAAATATTATATTTTTGTAATATTGAAGCCATTATCTATATCAATGGTTCCCAATTAGTAGTACCCCAGGGGTACGCGAAATTGCATGAGGGGGTACGCGCGGTATTCTAAAATTGGTCAATTTAAAATTTAAATGCATGAGATGAAGCAGTCAAAAAAATAATGGGTGGACCATCAAAAATTTGGCAATTTACAACGTGATGTCGAATGCACAAATTCATTTATTTATAACTAAAAATATTCTCAAAATTTCATCAAAAAAATGCATTGTGACAATACCTAAATGAAATTCTTGCGCAAGAAACAAAAATTGTACAATTAACACAAATTATGTTAATTGTACAATTATCATTATCTTCATGTCAGCGATCAGCGAAGTGGCAATAAAATGTTTTCTACCATGTTGCACAACATACCTCTGCGAGAGCAGATTTTCGGCCATGACAAACACGAAAACTAAACATCATCACCGACTTCAACTCGAAGATGACTCAAGACTGAAGCTGACCAAAAAGCGACCAGGTTTTTCAAAGTTGTGTAAAGAAAATCGCGCACATTTGTCACATTAAAATTAAATAACTTTATGTTATTTTCATTACTATTAGAATTGTATTTTAAACATAATAAATGTAAAAAAAAACTTATTCTATTTATCACTTGCTGTCTACCCACAGCTTCACCCGCATTATATCCAATTTTCTTGCGGGAGTAAGATATTTTCTCGCAGTAAAATGTAGCCTATGTCCATCTCCAACGTGTAAGCTATCTCTGTGCTAAATTTTATTAAAACCTGTTCAGCGGTTTAGACGTGAAAAGGTGACAGACAGTCAGAATTACCTTCAAATTTATAATATTAGTATGGATTAATATGAATTTCTGCTATAAGGGGTACGCGAGTTTGAGCTCTTTCTTGAAGTGGTACACAGGAAAAACTAATTGGAAACCACTGATCTATATAAATAAAAATGTAAATGTTTGTTTGATCAAAATCTTGAATCTACGAAAGTTCTTAACCAATTGCTTTGAAATTTTGACACAAAGTTGCATTCGAATACACACATGTTTTTAGATTATAGAGATGATGAAATCCCCTCACGGGGAGAGGGACAAAATTAAGGTTTATCGTGAAGAACTCTGCTTCTATTATACTATTTTAGATGCGGTTTTTGCATTTTTGATTGCATTTTAATAGGGTACGTCAAGAGAATGTATACTAAAAAGGAATTTTTCGAAATTCCCCCCCGGCAGGAAGTGTTATACATTTATAATAGATACATTTTGAGCCACAGCAACATGTGGCTGGGTACAGCTAGTTGTTATATTTTTTTTTACTTTTTTATATGTATTTCTTAAAATTTAATAAAATGTTGTTATTTTATTAGATTGATCCTGTTAGAACAATATCAGCTGGAAAAGTGAATTTAGGAGCATTTAGAACTTATCCAAAGGTAAAAATTGCTATAAATATTTTCATGTAAACACACATTAGTGTTAAAAATATTTTTATGAACAAAACAAAGATGCTTATTGAAATTACTTTTTTATTCCTTTGTATAGACCAGTGTTTCTCAATCTCTTACGAATCGTCGCCCCCTTCAACGTAGTATCGCCCCCTCAATAAAACCGTTACGTAGTNGGCTTTCCACAGTAATTTCTTTGAATGGTTTTACAAGTAGAACAATTTTTTCAACGAGAGACCACTGATATGGGCTCAACATAGGAATTTTATTATCTATAGTATATGTGACAAGGGCTTTTTGCTGTTCCAACATGTAGTATGTAGAATTCCAACGAGTAGGAACATCTTGAATTAATTTGTGTTTCTGCAAATCTAACTTTTCTTGCAAATCTTCTAATTTGATTACAGCTACAGCAGAATGATTAAAATGTGTGACAATATTTCTATTAACTGTGATTATAGTTTTCACATCTTGTTTAGAAAATATGCATTCGTTTAGTGTCAGCTGCAGCATATGATAATGCTTCTAAGTTGCAATTCCTAATTCCAGCTGTTACACTTAAAAAAGGAGAATTGTTTATAGTTGCTGTCCAAATATCAGCGGTTAAAGAAATATACTTTGTTTCTGTTAAACACAAACACTTCAGCTTTTTAAACAATGTCGAAGTTTCCATGCGTCAACAATTAAATGTTGAGATTTATTTTAGAAACAAAGGAAGAGATTGTTGATTTTGCGAGGATATTCGATCGTCTCTTGTTTACCTGTCCCAAAGGAGATGGAAATACCAGGTGGAGGAGAAAAATGGGTTTTTTTCCACATTATAATTAACTGTATAATTAACTCCAGGATCTCACACTATTAATGCAATAAATTATTAACACTAATTGGCCGATTAATTGGTAATTGGCCATTTTGCTTATCAGTGCATCCTTATCCCTGATCCATCGGTTGAAACAAGTTGGTTGTATTTGGTGGCAAAAATATAACTTTCACACATGGGTCAAAATTAGTTAAAGTTGCAGGAGGATGACCGGTGCATTGTCGATTATTAGCATCACTTTAAATGGAATTTGTTTAGATTGGCAATAACATTCGACTTCAGGTATGAAGAGATGACCAAACCAGTCCTGAAAAAGGGAAGCTGCCACCCAAGTTTTACGATTCGACTTCCAAATCACAGGCAAGCCAGCTTTCGATTTATTTTTCAATGCTCTTGGATTTTCCGAGCGATAAACTAAGAGAGGTTTTAACTTCAATCACCAGCTGCATTTGAGCCAACCATCGTTGTCAATCGATCTTTGGCGGCCTTAAAACCTGGAAAGGTTTTCTCTTCACGCGTGATAAAAGTTCTTTTAGGCATCTTTTTCCAGAACAGGCCAATCTCATCATCTTTGAATATGGTTTGGCTGGTATAACCACCTTCATCTATTATAGCTTTGAATTTCTCTGGATAGTAAGACACAGCCTCTTTATCAGCAATTGCCATCTCTCCACTTTCTGCAATGCTATGCCAATTACAGTGGCTTTTGCATCGGCTGAACCAACCGTTACTAGCTTTAAACTCTTCATCTTTATCCACCTCTCCAACATCCTCTTTCAATCTCTCAAAAATCAGTTTAGCTTGAGAGCACACTGTATTCTGATCAACAGGACAATTTTTCACATTTACTTAATTATCACACCATAATTTTAACATTGTTTCCATCTCAGCAATAATACCGTGAGTTTACGAATGATGCTTGAATTTAAAGATTGAACATTTTTCACAGCTTTGAGAATATTTTCTTTACCTTTTATAATTGTTCTGACTGTCGATTCTAGTAGATCAAACTTCTTTGCTAATTCACAAATTTTCATTTTTGTATTGAAGTCTTTAATAATAATAACTTTACATTCCAAAGATAAAGATTTTTTTTCTTGTTTGATGCAGAAGAATCAGTTCTACTTCATTTGGATGACATAGTAGAGGTCTCTCAAGTCTCCATAGATATAACAAACACAGAAATAAATAACACAAAATAAATTGTAGCTAAGCGTCGATTCTGCACGACATGTCCGAACATGTAAGCTGAACAATAGTGTGGGAGAGTGAGTAATCAAGAGTTGCGTGGCGCTCAAACAAAAGACGAATCGACGAGATTTGAAAATCGCGTAACTCGGGTAGCATAAGTCGAGGTATTACTGTATATCCACTTCACATTTTATTTCACCAAGTAAGTTTTTATTATTTTATTTTTAATTGCAGTAGCCCTTATATCGTGGCTAGCGATTCAGAATGTAATTGTGATATTAAAAATACATTTAGATACATCTATGGTTTTTACTGGCTTATCGAACAAATGAATATGAATGGATCCTAGACCAGCATGGCCAACATACGACCCATCTAATGAATTTATGCGGCATGCAATTAATCTTTCAATATTAGCTATTCAAGTCCGAATAGCTAAACGAAAAATTTTCACGCCAAAAATAAATAAATAAAAAAAAAAAAGGTCAATAACTCACTGTGCATTTAGAGTTAACCTTCAATTACAAATCTCTTAAATACAGTGTAGAATGTTGATAAAGCATGATAATGCGAAAAATGTATCTGTAATCTCTATCTCATGGTCTCTACAATTTAGTCTCTATGGGGTGACACCACAATGAGATTGTGCACCAACTCAAAATCTTCCTAGGGCAGCCTCTGGTTTGGCCTGGGGGCAAAAACTGTTGGCCACCCCTGCCTTAGACCATTACTGATGCGCAATTAACTAATTGCCCCTGAAAATTGGTTTCTTACAGAAACACAGCTTTTCTATCATCATATGTCACAGCATGCCACTGGTTTCAATTAAGTAAACTAATATTTACCATAACCAAATTTTCTCTTCCTTTACATATTCCAAAATAGTCTATTATTTCTGTAAAAATTCCTAATATTCTGTATCTTTTTACAAAATTCTTTCTTCTTTGCTAAACATAGTCTCTTCACTAGACTTTGGTACAGAACAAAGACACTCCTTTGAGCAGCCAAACCATTTTTCTTAAACTCTAACCATGCTCTATTTCTAGCTTTAATCATTAAACAACATCCAAATCAAACCAATCATCTATTCCCACTGTTTCTTTAGACCTGTGATTCAACCCATACACTCTAGCAATCTCCATTATGACCTTATTGAACTCCAGCAGGGATATATTAGAAGTCTGCTCCAAGCAGTACTCCAAATCAGCCGAAAGTGTCTCTAATAGATCACTATCCCAGATAAATAGAATTTTAATATATTTTCACAAATGATTACAGTACATGTTGAAAAGTAACCAAGTAACCTAACCTAACCTAACCAGGACGCATCATGGTCGAATATCATGAAAGCCATGACAAAAATTTTGCTTTGTAGTCATTTTGAATTAGCCACAACATGTTGTGGTTTTTTCACTCAATGAGCGATTTTGGTCTTTGAGCCTAACATATATTTACAAAATGTAACAAGGATAAATTCAAAATATTAACTGCAAAAGATTTAACAATGTTGTCTTTGGAAATATTTAACTCCTTTTTCTTCTCCTCCAATTCCTGAATAACAACATTATTCATCCTTCTCTGATTATCCATAGCATTCAGTTCCCTCTCAAATGAGCTCAATTTCATATAAACTTTATCATATCAAGAGAATGCCCATCTCCATTTACTTCCCTTCCAACCTTCAAATCAACCTCCCCTAACCTTGCCTCAAAATCAACCAGGCCTCATCTACATTCTTAATCCACTGTAAGAGGATCCAATCTTCTGATAAACTTGTCAATTTTACCATTTAATGAAGCATGCAATCACAATAAAAGCTGAATCCCTTCCACCATATCAAAATTTGACCTCTGCAATAAATTCAAAATATCATCTTCACCAGAAGGACTCTTGCACTTTAACCTAGTTGATGATCTTTCCAGAATGGTTGGAGGAAAGGACTTCCTCTTCCGAGCCTGCGACATAATAAAAAACTACATTTACCTAGAAATGAAAATTAATCAATTTAATCTTTTATTCACAAAATCAGATAGTCTCCCCTGGTTTATTTATAAGACAAATTTAATATAATACTAGGATAATTAGTTGCAATTACACTATTAAAATTTTTGCATAACAGTCAAAATGACTGAAGCAATAAAGGCATTGACCTGCTTAAAGTTTCACATTTGAATCTGGATTGGAACCTCAAATTTTCAAGAGTGGTTTATTACAGATACTGAGACAATTTATCTGCAGAGTGGAAAGATTTAAAAAGAAAGAAACACATTACAAAATTCCTATTTAAAATGCAAGGTAACTGATTACAATGTATGTTTTTCTTTAGTTTTACAAGCATGAAACAAGTCAAATCTCTTAAATCTTCTTGGAAAGAAAAAATGCAAGTAAGGGTAGAAAGGAAAAATTTACTTGCATATGAATCAGAACTAAAAGCTATAAAACAAAAAGAAATTGAGGTAAAATGTTATTTTCTTTTTCTTTGTTAAATACAGGATTATTCTTTATGACTTTAAAAAAATTCTATATGCTTTCAAAGTCCTTTTTGAATAAATTTTATGTACAAGTTTGTGTGCATGAATAAACAAAGAAATTGATGTAATTATTAATCAGGAGGCAAAGAGGAAACGAGAAGAGAAGAGGAAACGTAAAGAAGAAAATCAAAAGAAATCTGAAATTGTTCAAGTGGTAAGATAAAATATTCACATAGCTTAAGAGAATTGGCTATTTTTCACTATTATTGTTGTGTTACTTCTCTTTGCAGATTCGAAAAACTGCCAAGTTAAAACGAATGAGCAAGAAACAATTGAGGAATATCAAGAAAGCAGATACAAATTAATTGTATAATTATTTAATAAAAGTACATTATTTTTTAAATTTGCTTCATTAACATAATAATGTATTAATGATTTTGTTTAAAGAAATCACTTATACAAGATAAAATATTGGTTTTGATTTTGTATTAATAATCTTTATGAATGTCTTTCTTTTTCCTTGCTAAAATCATTACAGTTGTTATACAGGGTCTCCCATAAATTTCCATACATTGGAAAAATAAATGAATAAATGTTTTTATATGAAAACCCATTTTTATTTATATAATATGATCTACATGACTGCCATTGTGTTGAAAACACATTTGAATATGTTATCCACTGCTGAAGAACACATTAAAGCACAGCTGGAGTTATGCTTGTAATGGTGTTGGTGAAACGTTGCTTGAGATGAATTATGTTTTGTATCTTTTCCTGATATACCATGGCCTTCAAATGCCTCCAAAGGTAAAAATCAAGTGGGGTAAATTCTTAGGATCTGGGAGGCCACTCCACAGGACCACACTGACCATATGTAAGGAAACTTATGGGATACCCTGTATATATAAAATATATATATTTTAGAAAATAAATTGTATGTCTTTTTTTAAGTTATATGTAAAGATCATTACATATGAGAATGAGATAGAAACAACTAAAACTTTATTATGAAAACACTTTGCTCACCATCCAAAATTATCTACATAAATTTCAGAATTTTTTTTAATAGTAAATAAGTTAAATATTCACCTAATTTAATTTATGTTGATTGATTGCATCCAAAATCACCAACAATTTAAGATTATAATTAATTCAAGTAATATGAAGTTTAACGATTACAGTATAGTTAAGACTATAATAAGCATATTCTGTTGCACTTTGGGACTTGCCTACACTGATGTTGACAAATTACTAATAACACTAAGCAGAGTATCATACATGCCAAGGTGTAAGTCCAAAAAAAAAAAAAAAACTCCAAATCTAGACATTGATTTATGTGATGAGTATAAAGTGCAAACTTTTACAACAAAATGGTAAACAAGCACTTCTAACAATTGCTGTGCACCACTTACCCAGACTCCAGAAAACTGTCATAGACATTTTTAACTAAAACTTCGTTTGTCAAACTTACTTAATGTATTAAAAATTCAGTAAACATTCTCATATTTCAAACCACAAAACTTAAGTGATGCAAATGGCAGAGTGTTAAGCTAAGTCATATTGTATTCATTTGGTATTGGTACTATTATAATGCTTTTCTGTAAAAACTATTAATATATATTGTGAATGTTTATATTGAAAAGTGTTATAATTAATGTCTTGTGAAAAGTGGTGTAATCTTATACACTTTTACTATAAGCTACTGTATACTGTATCCAGGACCAGTTTTGTTAGCTGCCTATGTGCTAGATATTTGGCCACCCCTATTAATGCTGATCGTGAGTAAATTCATAACCTAATCTAACTTAATCTACGAGAACTTACTGGTATGTTTTAGGACAGTTTCATATAGTTTACAGGGGTAAAAAAAAATCTATAAAAATATTTGATATATATTTATTTTCATCTTATTCAAATCAAGCTGGCCCATAAATAATAGGTCCTTTGTTGCAATTTGAAAAAATTGTAGACCTAAAAATTTCCACTATCATCCATCTGTCTGTTCTTTCATAATCTCAGGAACAGAATTAATAGATGAAGACCATATGTGGAGACCTTAGGGGCTGGAGGCCCCGATTAACTATATACAAACTTTCAATGCAAACCAGTAGTCACATTATTTCAATTCAAAACTTCCCCCAAAAGGAGGAGATGACCAGCACAACACTATTGTTAAAGGAAAGTATGATATACAGGGAAAAGAAAGTACTAATTTCAGGTGGAGAGCATATATTTTAAATTAATTAAATTAAAAATATGATTAAAACTTGCAGCCTGGCATTGTGATGATGTCACAATAAATAATTACTTGTTCAAAATTATATTTTAGCACTGCCATAAAATAGAATTTGCATATTAAAATGAAATTAATTTAAAGAAATTTTCTTATTTAGTATAAAAATAGTGTGTAAAAATTAATTTAAATATTCATATTTAAATTAGTGTTTGTGCACATCTTTCTTTATTAAATTTCCTTTTGGTTCTGTCAACAATTAAAACAATGGTGTAAGTAATGCTTTAAGATTAACAGTATAGGAATAAAGGCCTGTTCACAATGAGTTACATAAGTGTTATCTTAATCATAAGACATTAACATAAATAAAGCTTGGAGTTTGCAAACTCCAAGTTTTTATGCTTTTTACATGATTTAAAACAAGAAACAACAATAGTGGTTATGGAATTCCCATTGATGAATTATTCTCTGGTTCAATGGATAAATCTCCCATCACCTGTTGCTTGCACTTCTAAGTTTACTGATACAAACCACTTAACATGTATGGTTCAACATTATTTATATCGTCTTTTGAACATTATATAGTGTAAATACACGAACACTTGGCAATCTTAAAAAACTGAATAAACTTAAGGTGAAGATTGCCAAGTGTTCATGTATTTACACTATATAGTGTTCAAAAGATAAAATAATCACCAACATGGTTTCAAGAGTGTAAAATTATTTATATCCATAATAAACTGCACAGCAATACTAACTTTACATCATCAGTTGTCACACAAACGTCAATTTGTTTCATCACCAACCACTATATTAAAATAATATTAAACTAGCAGACCCCGCCACGCCTTGTTGTGGCTCAAAATGTATCTATTATAAATATATAACACTTCCCCAGTGGGGGAAAATTTTTCGAAAAATCCCTTCTTAGTGTACATTCTTCCCTATTTCATTGTTGCTTTTTAGTTTCTTTATGTCTTCTTTTATTTGATGTTTTAAATTACTTCTATTTTCTATTTTTATCTGATTTACCGCTTTGTCAATTTCGGATATTATATTAATTGCTTTATCGTTTAGTGGCATATTATATTCTAATCCTAGTTTTAGTATGTTAGTTATATTTGCAGGTATAGTTTTATTTGTCTTATTAACTATTAACTTACTTTCCCATTTTCTTTTTTCACTTGGCATTGGGTATCCGAATAGCTTTTTTAGTTTCTGGTCTTTTCTTTTTTTGTATTTCCAGTCGGTAGATTCTTTATTTGGTTCTGCATTTCCTTGTAATCTTCTTATTTGTCGTTTTAATATGAATAGTTTTTTAGTTTTGAATTTTATTGTAGCTTTTATTATTTGCCTCTCGATCTCCCATATATCCCTACGTTGTATGTTTGCTGAGATGGACTTGGGTAGGCTTAACGTATTTGGTGTGGATTCTTCTCTTAAGAAACACTTGAAGTACTGTATGTCTATTTTGCATCTTGACTGAAGTTTTCTTAAATTACGGAGCTTTGTCTCTTTTTCCATGACGCTTATTAATAGATATGTATATATCCATGGTGCGGTTTACTTTATATTACTTTTTATAAAATTAAAAACAACATCAACACCAATAAGTTAAAAAATAACGAAATACTAAACCAAGCAGGTATCATATACGAAATAAAATGCACATGTAAGAACCCAGCAATATACATTGGCGAAACAGGAAGACAACTCGGTACAAGAATTAAAGAACATAAAGCAGCAATTAGACTTAATTATACCCAATCACCGTGGACAAATCACTGTAAAGAATTTGGATGCACAATAAACGAAAAAAGTATAAAAATTATTCATAAAGAAAAAGATATTTATCTAAGAAAATTCAAAGAGCATTTCGAAATCATAAATAAAAAGAAAACCATAAACCTAAACGATGGAATGGAGGTAGACGACGTGTGGGAGGAAATGGGAGGAGCTAAAGGGAAAGGAAAAAGAGGGGGAAACGGTGTAAAAATGCCTTAGGGGAAATAACATCAACACTGGGCAGATGTCGATCTAAAACTTAAACAGGTTAGTTAACCGTTGTATAACTATTGTAGTAAGTTACAGATGTAATAATTAATCTTACCAAATTTATAGAAATGTAAAAATCCTGAAGAGGGGTGCAAATTAAAGAAAATATTGCACCCGAAATGCATAGAAAATAAAGAATACGAAAAAAAAGCTTTGTCTCTGATTAACTGCGGTCCAGGCACAAAAACGGGGGTNTACAAAAAAATTTTCAGTAAGCATGGAGTTACACTAGCAGCCAAATTAAAAAATAAAATTAAAAACAACATCAACACCAATAAGTTCAAAAATAACGAAATACTAAACCAAGCAGGTGTCATATACGAAATAAAATGCACATGTAAGAACCCAGCAATATACATTGGCGAAACAGGAAGACAACTCGGTACAAGAATTAAAGAACATAAAGCAGCAATCAGACTTAATTACACCCAATCACCGTGGACAAATCACTGTAAAGAATTTGGATGCACAATAAACGAAAAAAGTATAAAAATTATTCATAAAGAAAAAGATATTTATCTAAGAAAATTCAAAGAGCATTTCGAAATCATTAATAAAAACAAAACCATAAACCTAAACGATGGAATGGAGGTAGACGACGTGTGGGAGGAAATGGGGGGAGCTAAAGGGAAAGGGAAAAGACGGGGAAACGGTCTAAAAATGCCTTAGGGGACATAACATCAACACTGGGCAGATGTCGGTCTAAAACTTAAACAGGTTAGTTAACCGTTGTATAACTATTGTAGTAATTTAACGATGTAATAATTAAATTTTACCAAATTTATAGAAATGTAAAAAATCCTGAAGAGGGGTGCAAATTAAAGAAAATATTGCACCCGAAATGCATAGAAAATAAAGAATACGAATAAAAGCTTTGTCTCTGATTAAATGCGGTCCAGGCACAAAAACGGGGGTTATTTAGATACAATTAACCCATAAAGTTTTTACATCAATTTTGAGGAAATATTTTTGAAAAATTGATTTTTTAAAAGTAATATAAAGTAAACCACACCATGGATATATACATATCTATTACTTATAGCAAATATATTTTTTGTTTACTTATAGTAAAACATATGGTAATTATTTTCTTTCAGACGTGAGATAATTTCTTCTCTCCCAAAGCCAGGAGAAGAACCATATTACGTCGGTGGTAGGAAATCCAGAATTTCAAATTACGTTTTTATTTCAACAGGATTTTTAATGTTATAGTCATTAAAAATTTCTTTGCAGGTTTGGCTCACCTAGCAACTGCATGTAATCCGGATTACAAATTTGCAATCGCAGAACATTCCATCGTATATATCGGCCGTACAATTGATATCTTTATTCACGAAGTTGGACATCTGTAAGTAATTGCATCAAATAGTTTTAAATCAAAACGTCATTCTTAAATAAATAAATGATATTGTAGAATCAATATTGCTCACGATTGGGAAGCTAAAAATTGCTTAGACGAATTGCTACCTGGAAAAGAAAATTATTCTTATTGCGCTAAGAAAGGCGTAATAGAATTTTTAGAGTAAGTTTCATTTTTTATTAAATTTACAGAAAATTTGTGATGAATATTTTAATAGTTCAATTTTGCTTTTAACAGTACACACTCGTGTCAATTTGATCATTGTGACAATGGTGAGAAATGAGAGTGGATATCTCCATAAATCGACTACGTTTATCCATTGACAATAATTGTTTCTATATGAAAATTAAACTACAACTATAATAACTCAATGTCACGTATAAACGTTCAAAAAGTTCTCAATGTAACTATTTTTATATTTGTTTTGTAATATTACTTAAATTTAATTAAAATAAAAGATCTTAATATTATTTTGTTATTTATTTATTAGTATAACGTATAATATGCATATTTAGTGACATACATAAGGGATTTAATAACAATACAATCACGGTTCAATAATACGTGATATTTAGACACTTATCGATAAAAGGTATCTTAAAAAACAGAACAGAACAATGATATAAGAAAATCTAGAAAGGAAGATTACGTTTCGAATACTTATTTGTCAATGCGCTCCTAATTTTTAAATTCAAAGAATATAAATATTATTAAATAATTTACGCTACTATGATTTTGTATCTGTGTATTATCGAGAAGAAAACTGAAATGTCAACAGACCGCGTTACAATAGGCAAATTTTTTTTCTTTGATATCCTGACCGATGTTTCTGCTTTGTTAAAAGAGGAAATGTCAGCAGTTATTTTGAAACCGTAATCATACAACCATCAAAGTTCAATCATTATATGCTAAGAGAACAATAAAATCTACATTTATAAATAATTTATAAATCAAAAATAATTTAATTGTTTATGTTAATTTTTATCTTTCATGTGATAATCTAGAGATAAGGGAGATATTTTAACGAAGTTGTTAAAATAATACCTGAATTAATTTCAAATAATAATTTTTTTAAATCGAATTTAATTAATTTTTGTAAAAGGAAGCACTTTCTTTCACGAGAAAACAGTTTAGTTCGTCCTAAGTTGATAATTCTAGCGCGGAATCTCACTTCGCTGGTCTACCAGTGGTCAAGCGGTTCCGTTTTCTTAACACTGGGAGTTTGGATGTGGGTTCACGCATCGTCAGGACGGACTGGCCGCGTGGAATTTTCCGGGATTTCTCCACGTCTGTAACGCCTGAATAGGGTTCAGTTACTCTTAAAAATACCTCCCGGAAGCATCCCCTCTAGACAGATCGCCCAAGTGTTGCGTTGCCATAAGTTAACTAAACAAACAAACATCTCACTTTACTATCCCCAAGACCGTCCGACTTCCTCCTCATGTCAAAAGTCTGGTGTCTGGTTTGATAGAGAACGTTTTTATACTTTTAAAACTGATTTTTAGTGAATATTTTATATTTTCCTAAAACCGCAGAAAAATAGAAAGTTTATGTTTCATGTCATCTACACATTTCTTATGGTTCATTAGCGAAGTGACTTCGTACCTTCAGAAGTAAAAGTAACATTTCGTAGTTCTTTAGAAACAGTGTGTTAAACGAATCGTAGACAATTGCCATTAGTCCACTGATTCTGTATACAAGGTAAAGTTAATTAACTTCTTTACTGCGATTTTAAGGAGGATGCACACGTGCTGCGGCAAAGAAATGCGGTGTCGCAAACGCATCTTCGCCGCGCGGTAGCACAACCACACAAGCCGCAATCCGCATACGTTTCGGCGCATGCGTTTAGTATTCAAGATGGCGAACGATATCGACACTGTTGCTATCCACATACTTACAAATTTTGTTTTGTACGGATTGCTTTATTTAGCTTGATTTTGTCGAAGATTCGAACGAAGATTTTGGATTAGAGCTATTTTCTTGGATGGAGAAAGAACTGGTGTACAAAATAGGCTTATTAATCCTCGATTAAGATTTCTCGATAAAGAATACTACAGTATTTCGATTAAGGCTCGGCTGTTTTGTTCTTTAAATTAAATTATATATAATTATTTGTTAGAATTTGTGTTAAATTTATTATCCTTTCCTCTTTATTCTGCTGTTAGTTATCTCGGTTAACCGTGTCAAACATTGCGCCATTAAAACACCACATGATTGTATTTTCTCACGTGACTATCACACGAAGTGTTATTGGCTGATAGAAACGCTTTTTGGTGGCTTAAAAGAGAGTTGGGAATTGTCTTTAACAATAAAATCGCTATACGAAGTTAGATATAAATAACATATGTAGCTTTTCTATTTTCAAAATTTTGTAGGAATCTATAAAGTGTTTCAAGTAGATTAATGTAGTATTAGTAGAGTGACGTCGAATACCACAATGTTGAATAGGATGTAGTTTAGAAGTTATTGGTATGTATATTTTCTGATAAATACATAGGGGAGACCGGGGCAAGATCGGCATGTTAAGCTTTACTTAAATTTTGTGTAATAAATACTACTGTAAACTGAAAAAAAAGCTTTGCATATTGTCTATTGGAATGTTACCTTACTATAGAACTGGTTAAAATCAGTTTGGAAATAAAAATAATTAAAATAATTACAACTTTACAAGAAGAGAGAAATTGACGAAGTTGCCCCGGGTATAGGGGCAAGATCGGCAACTTCTCTCTTTTTGTAAAGTTGTAATTATTTTAATTATTTTTATTAAAGTTGCCCCTGGTATAGGGGCAACAGTAATGGGGCAAGATAGGCACGTATATAAAATTATGTTATTAACAATGTATAAGTTGGAATTCACTATTAAAACAAAGAAATACAAATCCAACACCCATTTAATATTATTACAACGAAATGCAAGTTCAAAGACATATATACATGAATAACAAATGCAAACATGTTTTCATTTATCATCTGTTTGATTTTTATCCTTTGCTTCTAATGTGGCTTTATGTTGCCGATCTTACCCCGCTAGTCATGATTTCGAAACATTAAGTACAACCCTGAGAACAGAATGCCAAGCCACGATCTGGCCACGTGAATAAGTTGAAGTTACATCCTTCTAACAGGAAAAGTAACTTTCGTTATCATGGAATTATAACAAAACCTGCCAATTCAATATAAATGGAAAAAAAATATTATATGGAATTGAACGAAAATGAAAATTTGCTTGATAATTCAACTACGCTTGTTGGAGAAGAATAAAAACACTACACTGAACAAGCCACCAATAAAACTCAACTGCCTAACCTATAACCAAAGTCTCCTTTTAATTTGTTTTTGAAAAAAGCGCTTGACAAACTTGCCCCGCATGCCGAAGTTGCCCCGGTCTCCCCTATATCGAATACTTTTAACATTGCAGCAGATAGGGTAATCGGTCTGACAGATTTGGTGCTTTTTTATTAATAAGTTTTATTGTGGAAGAAAGCCAATGTATCAGAATAAAGTTATATTGAAATTGTCTGGAGAAGAGTTTAGATAATATGACGACCTCGGAAGGTTGTAGTTTAGAAAAAAAAATGGCAGGTACCTGTACCTAAGTTTCGATGTAGAATGCAGAAAACACTTTCCCTATTGTTGTGGGGCGAATAGACGGTAATTATAATTAAACGATAGACAGGTAATTTTACTATTAAAACACAGTCTACGTATTGAAAAATTTTTATAACCTAAATAGACGGAAGTTATAATAACAAGATTCCACCTCCTCGTTGTGTCCTCTAGAAATGAAAAAATAGTAATTACCTAATTTTTTAAATGTAATTATAAACATCAAATGAATAAGGGGTTAACTGATAAATGCATGAACGAAGTGTAGAAGAAGTTATAACTAGAAGTATCGAAGGATTCTCAACAAAAAGAGACTATCTCTGTATTGTTAGGTTGACCAAATTGTCAACCTAATCGATACAGCTAGATGTAGACGAGCAGGATATTGAGAAAAAGATTCGCATCATTTGACGGGATGATTTGATGAATCAATTGGCGAGATGTTGTGAGAAAATCAAGATAAGGTGCAATATAAAGGAAGCTTAATTTCCTTTTTACCTTATCTGCCAGATTTTTACAGGACGCTGTCTTACTTTTTGTATCTTTTATTACATTAATTTTATAGAAATATTACCGACAATTTATTAATATAATATTTAATTCAAAAGCTATCTTAAAAACGTATGACCTGTCCAGCTCTTCATATCACTCTCCTCTCTTCAAAAATTACACTACGGTAAGAAGACGTGATTTCTCAATATTATGTGACAAATAGAAGGTTGATTGAACTCTCTCTCTAAACAAGAAGAGGTTTAAACTTCAAGGGTAACGCTTTATTATATATAGATATTATAAAGTATACATAACTATAAATATAAGGATTATTCAATATTACTTTGAATATAATAATTGGTACAGTACACAATAATAAATACGATAATTAATATAATAAATTGAAGGTATACAAATTTCACAGCCATAAAAATATAAGACAAATAGATAGCAGTCTTAACACTATTATCTTCGTAGGAAGTTGGTTGTGAGGAAGTTGTTCACTTGATAGCGGTTGATACTCGAACGTCTCCAGGCAGGAAGTTGAGCCATCTGGATGTGTCTCGCTTATAGTCCGTTTAGGGCACAAACAATTCCAATGCCCTTCCTTCTCTTTTTTACTGATGTTCCATACATTAGAGGTGAACTATCTTGGCATTTTTCATAATTTCATAAAATCAAAAGTTAGTTAATAAATTTTAAGTATAATCAGCATATAACTGCAATGCCTTTAAGAGGTATTGAAATTGTTACAATTAATCATTTATACTCTCTCTCTCTTATACCTTATTTATACCTTACTCATTCTATTACCTATTCTAAAGTTACTTCCTATAAATCATATATTAAGGAAATAGATAGATCTACAAAAATCGAATAGAAAATACTGAAGGAAGTAACTTAGCTTCCGTTGATTATCATGCTATGACTAATGATAATGTTAAAATAGAATATAATTGCTATAATAATTTTGATAGGATATTAGTTTGGTTAATAAAATCATTATTATAAGATCGAACACAAGTCCTAATAATAATATTTCGATAATATTATTCGTTAGGAGAATAGGAAGAGGATCGACAAGATAGCTATACTATATGGATACCAGGTAATTTAAACAATAGGAATTATTTAACGCCTTAATTTCAAGGAGAGAAGGATCGACTAGTAGCTGGGAAAAGAAATCTAAGAATGCGACTTTGACCTAATTTTGCCGATTTGTTGACCTGTTGTTCGCTGCCTTCTCTCTTATGAAGTCTTTGATCATTTATTCCTTGACTTGGTTCATCTCTTCGGTGTA